CCCAAAGGGGGACGTAAATGTAAGAGGAAAAATTAATGTTGTCCAACAGGAGGGAGTAGAATGTTACCCAAAGAGGAGGGAGTAGAATGTTATAAGAGGAGGTATAGAATGTTATCCAAGAGGAGGTAAAGAATTGTTACCCAAAGAGGGGGGAGTGAATGTTATTCCAAGATGGAAATAATGTTACCAAGAGACGGGTAGAATGTTACCCAAGAGGGGGTAGTGATGCTACCCAAAGATGGGTAGCAGAATGTTATAAAAGAAGGGGGGGGTAAAATTTTATTCAAGAGGAGGGAGTAGAATGTTACCAGAGGAGGTATGATGTTACCCAAAAAGGGAGTAAATGTTATCAGAGGAGGTATAGAATGTTACCCAAAGAGGATGAGTAGAATGTTATCCAAGGAAGGTAATAGAATGTTATCCAAGAAGAGGTAATAGAATGTTATCCAAGAGGATGTAGTAGAATGTTATGCAAGAGGATGTAGTAGAATGTTATCCAAGAGGAGGTAATAGAATGTTATCCAAGAGGAGGGAGTAGAATGTTATCCAAGAGGAGGTAATAGAATGTTATCCAAGAGGAGGAGTAGAATGTTATCCAAGAGGAGGTAGTAGAATGTTATCCAAGAGGATGTAGTAGAATGTTATGCAAGAGGATGTAGTAGAATGTTATCTAAGAGGAGGTAATAGAATGTTATACAAGAGGATGTAGTAGAATGTTTTCCAAGAGGAGATAATATAATGTTGTCCAACAGGAGGGAGTAGAATGTTATCCAAGAGGAGGTAGTAGAATGTTATCCAAGAGGAGGTAATAGAATGTTATCCAAGAGGAGGTAGTAGAATGTTATCCAAGAGGAGGTAATAGAATGTTATCCAAGAGGAGGGAGTAGAATGTTATCCAAGAGGAGGTAGTAGAATGTTATCCAAGAGGAGGTAGTAGAATGTTATCCAAGAGGAGGTAGTAGAATGTTATCCAAGATGAGGGAGTAGAATGTTATCCAAGAGGAGGTAGTAGAATGTTATCCAGATGAGGTAGTAGAATGTTATCCAAGATGAGGGAGTAGAATGTTATCCAAGAGGAGGTAGTAGAATGTTATCCAAGAGGAGATAATAGAATGTTATCCAAGAGGAGGTAGTAGAATGTTATCCAAGAGGAGGTAGTAGAATGTTATCCAAGAGGAGGGAGTAGAATGTTATCCAAGAGGAGGTAGTAGAATGTTATCCAAGAGGAGGTAGTAGAATGTTATCCAAGATGAGGTAATAGAATGTTATCCAAGAGGAGGGAGGTTACCTGGAGGTTACCTGGAGGTTATTCCGGGGATCAACGCCCCCGCGGCCCGGTCCATGACCAGGCCTCCCGATGGATCAGGGCCTGATCAACCAGGCTGTTACTGCTGGCCGCACGCAGTCCGACGTATGAGCCACAGCCCGGCTGATCCGGCACTGAATTTAGGTATCTGTCCAGCTCTCTCCTGAAGGCAGGGAGTAGTATGTTATCCAATAGGAGGTAATAGAATGTTATCCAAGAGGAGGGAGTAGAATGTTATCCAAGAGGAGGTAGTAGAATGTTATCGAAGATGAGGTAGCAGAATGTTATACAAGAGGAGAGAGTAGAATGTTATCCAAGAGGAAGTAATAGAATGTTATCCAAGAGGAGGGAGTAGAATGTTATCCAAGAGGAGGTAATAGAATGTTATCCAAGAGGAAGGAGTAGAATGTTATCCAAGAGGAGGGATTAGAATGTTATCCAAGAGGAGGTAATAGAATGTTATCCAAGAGGACGTAGTAGAATGTTATCCAAGAGGAGGGAGTAGAATGCTATCCAAGAAAAGGCAACTTCTTTGAACAATAATAAATACTAAATACGACACACACAAACACACACACACACACACACACACACACACACACCACACACACACACACACACACACACACACACACACACACACACACACACACACACACACACGCACACACGCACGCACAAACACACACCCAGGATCAAATGGAAGGACAAGCACACCCCCCAGAAACACCTGCAGAAGGACTCCAGCCACGACACCCCCAAGGCAACTGAACAATCCAAACCAACCATCACACACCGATCGCTCTGTTTCCACCCCCCGCACCACAGTTACAGTATTAGAACAGAAGTTGAAGGTTTGGTACACAAATACAGATGGATTAACGAATAAACATGAGGAATGGCAAGAAAGAATCAATGAGAAGTCCCCAGACATCGTAGCAGTTAGAGTAACAAAACTCACGGAGACAATAACAGATGCAATCTTCCCACCAGGATATCAGATCATGAGGAAAGATA